AATAACTTATAATCATATTTTACTAAATTGGTTATATATATATATATATATATATATATATATATATATTAATTATATGACATTAAGAATAAAGTGCAAAAGTGAGTAAAAATATGAAAATTGAGTAAAAATTACAATAATCATCAAATAATACTACTATTATAAATCTAAGGCAAAATATGAATATAAGACACACATACAAAAGTTAAAAAGACCAAATAAATACATACAAAGTTACTTCCTAAAATGATTATCATTGGGCTTACTAGGCCACCGTTATCGGGTTGTTATCGAACTACTCGTATGTCCAAGTAAGCACAGGTATGCCTCCGGATGTTGGATTTCTTCATGTAATTGAATTGCCTTCAGATTAGCCACCATATGTTGCAAAGTTTCTTAGGTCTTTTTAATTCTTACTCTTGTCATGGGTCCTGTTATGCCTTATTGGATTTTGGATTTCCTTTTGATCTTGGGCATGGTCTTTGATGTTCTCATGAATATCAAACCAAAATGTTTACAAGTGTAAGCATCATATTCTTTGTTAATTCAACATTATTAGAAAACTATTAATTTTTAAAACCCATGAAATGAAATTCTATTTTCTAAAGCAACTAGTATGATGAATAAATAATTCTTCCTCTTACCATTCGTGTTCACTTGCAAGTCTATAGAAATCATTGATTACTGATTATAGAAAATATCATTTTCCATACAAACATGGTCAAGTCAACAAATAATGATTGTAACAAAAAAACAAAAAGCCGTCAAACATGATTTCCATCAATGTCTTCACTTCCTCTCTTAATTCACAATGAATCCTTGCTTGCCTCAGCTAGTGCTCACAAAATCAATTAAATGTCAACAGGGCAACAGAAAATTCCTCCAAATATTGATATTAGTCATGGCTAACACACTGTGAAGTCATTTAGTGAAAATCCCGTATTAAATTCTTGCCTCTCAAACCCCTATATATATTTATTTATTTATGAAGATGAGTTTAGATTGATATTTGGACACCGAGGCAGCACAATTTTATTGATATCTGCATCTTATTTTTCAACCCTATACATATGAACCAAACCCAGAATAATTATTTTGTCACACTTTCACTTCAGAGTTCAGAGCCACCAAACATCTTATTTCAATATTGCAAGTGTACACACCTTCATTGCTTGCATAACGTCTATTCACAGACATAGTCTAACAATTGAATCCTGTGTAAGAAAATTTCCATGGATATTCTTTCTTTGTTGATCTTTGTTGCATGTATACTCATCCCTTCTCTCAAAGTATCCACAGCCATTGACACCATTCATCTGTCCCAATGCATCAGTGATGGCATGACCTTGGTTTCCCAAGGTGGAAAATTTGAATTTGGTTTCTTCAGTCCTAATCACTCCAACAAACATTACCTTGGAATTTGGTACAAGAACATTATCCCACAGACAGTTGTTTGGGTTGCGGAAAGGGCCATCAATGATTCCTTAGCCATCTTAACTGTCAACAGAACAGGCAACCTTGTCCTCAGACATCACGACAACGTTGTTTGGCACACACCATCTGAGAAACAAGCACAGAATCCAGTGGTGCAGCTTCTGGATTCAGGGAACCTTGTGGTAAGAGAAGAGAGTGAAACAGACCCAGAAGCCTATTTGTGGCAAAGCTTTGATTACCCTTCAGATACAGCACTGCCAGGGATGAAGTTGGGATGGAACCTCAGAACTGGTAGGGAATGGAGAATGACATCTTGGAAGAGTCCTGATGATCCATCCCCAGGAGACTTTTATTGGGGTATGTTGCTCTATAATTATCCTGAGTTTTATCTGATGAAGGGAAAAGAAAAGATTTTGAGAATTGGACCATGGAATGGCCTACATTTCAGTGGTATACCAGATCAAAAGCCTAACCCCGTTTATGCTTACCACTATATATCCAACAAGGATGAAATATACTACACTTATAGCCAGGAGAATGATGGTGTGATCTCAAGATTGGAAATAAATCAAACCTCTTCCACGATTTCTCGATATGTGTGGATGGAGGATAAACAATTTTGGAAGGTCTACAAATCAAGGCCAAGGGACAATTGTGACTATTATGGCATGTGTGGAGCCTATGGGACTTGTGTGATTACAGGCTCACAATTTTGTCAATGCTTAGAAAAGTTCAGTCCCAAGTCACCAAAAGCATGGAACAAAGCTGATTGGAGTCAAGGATGTGTACGAAATAAACCATTAAACTGCACTAACAAGCTTAGGGATGGATTTATGAAAGTGAAAGGTGTAAAACTTCCAGATACTACACATACTTGGGTAGATGAGACAATAGGTCTAGAAGAGTGCAGAGTCAGGTGCTTGAATAATTGTTCTTGTATGGCCTATACTAATTCAGACATAAGAGGTGAAGGTAGTGGTTGTGTCATGTGGTTTGGCGATCTAAATGACATTAGGCAGTTTGACGGTGAGGGGCAGGATCTGTATATTCGAATGGATGCTTCAGAATTAGGTATAGACAAGGATTTATAATTTCATTCAACTTTTCATTATACATGTACATACATACACACATAATATTTGTTTGTTAATTTGGTTTTATCAAATTCAAATTTGAAGGGGAACAAAGACACTACAAGGAGGTGCTAATATTAGTTTATACCACCATTGCTATAATTTTAGGGATGCTTTTGGTTGGTTGTTTTCGTATCTACGTTGGCCGGTGCACCATAACAGGTAAGAATATATTTCTCAAGTTCGTCCACACAATCAAGTTCGTTCAAGATAAAAAGTAGTTAACCAAACTAAATTTATTTAAGGATGCAAAACTGAGCATAGAAGGGTATCTTGAAGTCTAGTGTGACATTCTATGATAGTTCTCAGTCATCCTCTACAAGCTGATATAACCCATTTTTATGTTGTGCCTTAAACTCTTAGTTAACTAAGGCTCTCTGGTTTTATTGGATAATCATTGTAATGTCTTTTGCCTGGTAATAATTTATCTATCTAGGCCAAAGTAAAGGGTATGAACAATGTGGCAACCGCTAAGGGGAATTTTGAACATTAATCTATTCAACCTCTTGATAAGAAGTGCAAAGATGTAATGCTGCAAAGTTATTGAATTGACTAAACTATCATATACATTATGCATTGAACTATACTGATGCCATTATTCCATTTTATCAGCGTATTCAGATATTCTACGTAATCAAAATAGGGGAGGTAGTGAGGATGATCAAGATCTCCCATTAGTTGACCTTTCAACAATAGTCACTGCTACTGATAACTTCTCAATAAATAACAAGATAGGAGAAGGTGGTTTTGGACTTGTGTACAAGGTGATTCAATCATTTTTTTAATCTGTTTCTGCAAAAAAGACCTCAAAAAGAGTCATATGTGATACATATTATCTCTTTTTTTTTTTTATTATATAGGGAAGATTAGTAAGTGGACAAGAGATTGCTGTGAAGAGGCTTTCAAGAACCTCTGGACAAGGAATGAGAGAGTTCAAGAATGAAGTAAAGCTGATAGCAAAACTCCAGCACCGAAATCTTGTTAAGCTTCTTGCTTGTTGTGTTCAACAACAAGACATAATGCTGGTTTATGAATACATGACTAACCGTAGCTTGGATCGGTTGATTTTTGGTAAGAACATTACAAGATTGCTAATTGTGGATGACTTTAGTGATTTCATTATCACATTTAGAGGTTATGAAACCTGAAATTTGAAAATTTAGAATAAAATTGTGATGAATAAATTTATTACATATGTAACAGATGATACTGAGGCTAAACTACTAGATTGGCCTAAGCGCTTCAACATTATTTGCGGAATTGCTCGAGGTCTTCTTTATCTTCATCAAGATTCTAGATTGAGGATAATTCATAGAGACCTCAAAGCAAGCAATGTTTTGATTGATGACCAACTAAACCCAAAAATATCAGATTTCGGCATTGCTAGAATTTTTGGAGGAGATGAGACCGAAGGAAGTACACAGCGAGTAGTTGGAACTTAGTGAGTGTTACCTTAGTATCAATGTGTGTGAATGGTATGTGACGTTTTTGTTAACATGTGTTTTTTATGATATGCTGCAGTGGCTATATGGCACCAGAATATGCAGCTGATGGTATTTTTTCAGTGAAATCTGACGTTTTTAGTTTTGGTATTTTGATGCTGGAGATTATAAGTGGAAAGAGAAGTAGAGGTTTTTATATTGAAAACCACTCTCCTAACCTTGTCACTCATGTAAGTATGTATCAAAATTTCCAATTACTTTAAATATGTTTCTAGTCTTTAGAGAATATAACTTTTTTGGTTTCAATCCTTACCTAAATTTAATTCATTTTTAATCCTTATGTTTAACAAGATAGTACATTTTTTTGTCTCTCACTAGGTTTTAAAAACATAATTTATATATGTTTTTAAGGAATCAAAAACATATTTAAACTTTTCTAATTTAGGAGTGAAATCAATTTTCTTATTCATTGATTCAGGCATGGAGTCTGTGGAAAAAAGGAAGGGCTATAGAAATGATTGACTCCAACATAGAAGACTCTTGTGCTCTATCAGATGTATTGCGTTGCATCCATGTCAGTCTCTTATGTGTTCAGCAACATGCAGAGGATAGGCCTGCCATGCCTTCTGTGGTTCTAATGTTGGGGAGTGAGAGTGAATTGGCTGAGCCAAAAGAACCTGGTTTCTATCTAAACAATGATGTGGGTGCAACACCTGCTATATCAGGTGATATAATCTCTATCAATGAATTAACTATCACTTCATTAGAAGCCAGATGAAAATTGATTAAATTGAAACCAAATTATTACAGGTCGTGTGAGTACATACACAGGAAATTATGCTTTCAATACACAAACAAAAATATAAGAAATCAGCTGTTTTCTTCTTTTAATGTTCTCGTAAAGATACTGTACACAAGAGGGTAGATAGATGGTTGTGCTATAAATTGTAACAACAATGATAAAATGACAACACAGAAATGTCATATTATTATTATTATCATTTCTTTAGCTGCAACTTCACCGTGATAATGAATTTTGAATGGTTAAAAACTTTATTATCATCCATATTTTCTATTCTTTCTCTTTTGTTGAGACTTCCTGTTGTCCAAATAGAACAATGGTTGTTCTCATTCTCTTAATATCTCAGTTCATGGATGAATGTTAAACCATCTAAGTAGGTCACCAATTTATTTGGGCTCACATTGATTTTAATAATAAGAAAAATCCAATACACTAATTGTATTAGCATCAGGTATAGTGATTTTTGGTATGAGTTCCAGGGATTTTTATCTCATATTGACGGTTTTTTCACATTAAAATTTTGTGTCTATTGATTTTTTATTATCTTGTTGTTTCTAGAACTTATTATTATTTATATATAAAAAAAAGGAGATTTAATTTTATTTCCGCTTAATTATTGTTATTTGTTATCTTTCTCAACATAAACAAAAGCTTTTGGAAGTATAAAGGGAAAAAAATAAATAAATCAGACTCCAGTTATCAAAATTCAGAACTTTCACAGGGAATTTTCTCAAATTTTAAAATACATACATTATAGCAAGTCCTCTTGCTATTTTCTTTCAATACCTTTGACTATAGAACATAAATTTCATGTGACTATGTATACCGTATTTGTTTTTTGGTCCACAACTATGTATACCGTATACTGTATAAAGTTCATGAGCAGCACTGCTCAAACTTTCCACGTTCACTAAATCAATGTATGTTGCTCACTTTAGAAGGTAAGGTAAGTAATCTAAATTGTTAAAGAAAATTAACTTTTGATTTTGTGTATACATACATGACAAATCATGAATATGCTGATATGTAACTGATAAAATCCATACTGACCTCTCCCCATATAGCATTTGAGATTGGCAAAGGTTGCAGCAATCCTTCAGGATTAGAGGCTTGGTACTTGCTTCTTTGGCAAATATAACACGATACCGCAAAAGAACACAGAAGTAACATGGCCTTCATACATACCCAAAACAGGTTCTGAGCCACTCTCCTATATGTTTGATACACCCTGGAATGTCCTCTTGTAGGTGTTGTATGAAATTCTTGCAATAACTTGGGTATCCAGGATGAATTTGAGGCCAACACCAAACAACCTTTATAGTACAATCTCTTTCCTTCTAAAGTGTAAGAAGGATGAGAATTAGCATTTTTCTTCAAATCCTTAATTGTTTTAGATAACTATGCATATGCTAACATCTCATATCAACTATAAATCTTGTCAAAGCACCTCCACATGGCAGGTAGTGATGAAGAACTCATGTCGCTTATCTAAGGAACTCAAAATCGAAATCTGAGTCTTGCAAATATAGAAAACTTAAGTTGAAAAAGGATAATCACCAACTCAACCCCTGTCAAATCTCTAAGGAAATTGATCTGTGTTTGACAAGAGAATACTCCTTGTCAATGAACAAAAAATGTTTGGTAGTAATTTTTCATCTTCCACTCTTGATAAATCATCTACTACCTTATTTGGCTAAATTCACGTATAGACAATCTCAAAGTCATAGCCAATTTTGCTTGTTTTGGGTGGCAATTCTCTGGTCCAACAAGTATCTCAAACTTCTTTGGTGTATGCATAGCACTAACACCATTAGTTCCTTTTCATAGACAGACTTATTTAACTTTGCTTCTACCAACTCAAACACATAGAATTCATCAAGAAATTTATGCCCAACAATGTCAAATGATAATTCCCTACAAACTCCTTGGGAACACTTTCTACAACCATTTCATAATCTGACTCCAAAAGTAGCTGTTAAGAGTTACCTGTAATCCCAGTTGATTCACTGACTCACCACTAATGAAATTGTGACTCACTCCACTATTTATCAAAAACAACAACCGGTGGCATTTATCTCACCATGCAAAATTTTATAATACTAAAAATTAAAATAAATTATTTATGAATTCTTAACATATAACAAATATTTCAAACTAAATATAATATAATATATAAATCTAAATTTTAATAAAATATAAAATGTTGATTAATAATAACAAATTTACATCTTAAATTAATATTTTAAATTATAAAAATTCAAGATATAAAAATTACAAATTTCATAAATGATTTATTCTAAATTATAATTTTTGTTATATATTTATTTTATTTTTATAAAAAAACTAAATTACATTTTAAAAAAATTATCTTTTTCATTCAAACCGATTTTTCTACACTGATCCGGGCTAGTTTTCACTAGTTCGATCGGTTCTTGACTGATTCAAACTGTTTTTGAGATCTTTCAATTTTCATTTGCTATCAAACTGTTGTCCTATGTGATCGATCGAATTGATTAGTGATTTCTAAAACTATGATTTAGAGTCTTTTATGTGTTGTAGGTGTGGATGTTCGTAGTCATATAACTTATTTGCCGTAAAACTAAATCAATACAAAATGCTAAGATGATCTTTAAGTCTAAAACTTGAGAAGTTAATCATAAATTTATTACTTTGTTAAAATGCATAAATAATAACAGAGTAATTAATTGATTATAGATGTTTCGTAATCACTTGCACAAAGTAAGACGTGTTCTTTTTGGAAAAAAAAAAAGTATTAGTTTTGTTTTTAATAAATTACATACAGTTTAATTGATTAAAAAAATTGTTATTTTTAAATGTCATTTCGTTTTAATCTATTAGAATATTTCTCAATTGATTAATTTAACCTTAAATAATCTCAATGTAAATACATCTTTCTACTTTAATCAATTATATCATGAGTTAATTAATTATTATTTGTTATAAAATAAGTCTGGAACTTTCTAGATGGTCGTTTTAATTAATTACTCTAGCATTAACAAACAAAATATGTTGTGAATGAATGAATGATCCATATTATATATAAACCCTACATTTTACTCATTGTGGTCATTTTAGAAGTACTAAATATAACATCCTTCTTAGAGTTTGAGACAAACTATAAATTTAGAAAACCCCTTTTACTTTTAAAACTTAAGCCCATAGTTGACTAGATTAAGATACTGGGTTATTAGATCACTGATTGAACTAGTAAATTATTTGTTGAATTAGTGAGTTACTTATTGAATCACATAAATTAATATAATTTAAAATAAAGACATAATATAAATAATTGACACATGGTGGTTTAGTGGTCACTAAACTTTCACTTAATTGAAGTACCCGGATCAATAGGTCCAAAGTTCATTTGGGATTTAGCTGAGTTGTACCAGTTCGCATAGGGCCATTAACAAACTTGATCTAATAAAAGTTATAGACCAAGTAATCTAACAGTTCTAGGTTCAACTACTTGATTGTTTGAACCGATTTTTAAAATACTGTTTTTACTTAATTTATTATGTATTTAATTTTTATTTTAATAAGTATTATCTTTTATAAAATGAGGAGAGATCCTTTTACTCCAGGAGTAAGTCTACCTAAATTTACTTTGTTCAATAATTCATGTTCTACATCAAATTTTAACGATCCAACCGTTCAATTTAAAATTTTTAATGCATAGATTTAATCTGCAAATTTTTAGAAAATTTGCAAATCATTTGATATTTCATTTCATTAATTCAAATCAATGTATAAAATGATTTTATAATTATCCGTCAATTTGACTTAACGAAATTTAAGTATCAAATGATTTTTAAATTTTCTAAAAATTTATAGATTTAATCTATGCATTAAGAACTTTAAATTGAACGGTTAGATCGTTGAAATTTGATGTAGAACATGAGTTATTAAACTGAATAAGTTTAGATAGATTTACTCCTAGAATAAAAGGATCGATCTCTCCTCTTATAAAATATTATATATATATATATAATATGATAATCTATTAATATTATAATATATTAAACATTATATATATTTATCTTTTTAATAATAATCAAATAATATTATAATATCATAAAAATAATTTAAAAAGTTTTACTATAATAACATTTTTACAGTATACTTGTAAAAATTATAAATAATAATAAATTAATTAAGATTAAAATCATCTTTAACTTAAAATTATTTTGAATGGAAAACAATTTTCTCTTAATAATAGTAAAATAATTTGTTAGTAAATACATAAAATATCATAAATATATTTTAAACAATAATAAAATCCTGGAAATATTATAATATAAAAACTACATTCATTAATATTATAACATTTTAAAAATATAAAGTAAATAAAAAACACTAATAATGAATATAAATATTATTAAATAAAAAATTTAAAATAAAAAATAATAGTTAACTAACATTAAAAGTTTTTAAAATAAAAATGTTACAATAATAATAATATAATAGTATAAAAGTTAAAATAATAAAACAATTTATAAAAATGAAAATAAACATAATAAGAAAATTAATTTGTTATTATAAAAATAAAGTAATATAAAATTTTAAAATAATTATAAATAAAAAAAACATATGTTTACACAAGTGCATTGTATGGATACCAAATTAGTTAAATATATATATACGAGGAGAGTTCAAACGACACTGATATAACTTTTTTATATTAATCTAAGATGATTTGATACTTCATTCTCATAAAACAAAATTGACGTAATATATACATTTCAAAATATACTAAAATATGAACACTTTGATTACCTTCAAGTTGTTGTTCAATTTTAATAAAATTTGATATATATGATCTAAGCAGAGATATGAACTTTCAGTCTAACGGTTGGATTTTCAAAATTCACATTTAATATAAAGTTATTGAGCGGTGTAACACTTAATAAAAGTTACACTAGTATCCCTCCTATATATATATATATATATATATATATATATATATTTTAAATTGAAACTGTGACAACTAAGCCTACGCATAACTGATGTGATCCCTTCGTCATGTTCTTTTAAAGCACAAATGGAAAAGTGTATTAAGATGAATGACCAATTCAACATAAGACCAATATAAATACTTTAATTTAATTTAATTTTATATATCTGAAAGGAAGGTCATTTATTGGCTGCGCAGCCTCCACATGTTATCCGTTGAACCTCGGTGCATTAAAACTAGAATTAAATATACTTTAGAAATAAAATATAAATTAGTATATTTAATTAAAAATGTAATACCCTCGTAATTTTTATATAATTATAATTTAATCATTATTTTTTATTTAAGATAATAATTTCGTAATTTTCCACCCAAACGTCATATCATTTGTTACTATTGCATAGCTGAATTACATTTTTTAATATCACCGGTATAAAAAAACTACCACCAAAACGGGAAAACAAAATAAAGTCGTATATTTGTATTTTGATATTTTATTGACCCTGAATATATAAAACATTTGACTTTGACGACATTAACGTGTATCAAGAATTTATTTAAAAAAAAGGTAATCGAATTTGGTATCAGTAAGTTTACAACTCTTTACACTTTCCTTAACCAATTTAACTATACTCCATTGGTAATGATATCAAGAGACTACGAGATTAAAAAATACTGAGGCATTTACGTTATCTCATTGTAATAAAAAAAATGTGAGAACAACCTTTCATAAAAGACAATGATACATCTCTCCAGAGTGCAGACCAAGATTTGATGTTATAAAGCCCTTTTAACAACTATTATGAATTTGGTGTTAGTTTTATCTTCACTATAACTTTCATATTGAACTTAAGGATTATTTTTATTATTTATTATTTTTAAAAAATACAAAATCATTTTTAAGTCTAAATTTGATAGTTTAACATTTTTTTTTACTACTTTGATCATATTTTGAGTTTTAAGCTTCTTTTTTAGGTTATTTAATTCAAAGTCAATAGAAATATATCATCTAAGAGTACAATTCTTATAAAGATCGTACAATCTAATTTTATCATTTAAATATTCTCGAAAGACTTATAATGTAAAGACGTTACTTTTTACATACAAGACGTGATACTCATCTTCTAATTTACATAATTTGATCATTTCTTTACTTATTTATATGATTCTTGAAACTAAACTATAACTTCAAATGTCTAGTTTTCAACCCAACAAACACAATTCTAATTGGTTAAAAAATCAAATAGAAATCACATAAATACTAAGATATGTTCATACTAAAATTTTAACAAAGGACAACTCATACCCAACTCAATTCTTCCAATTTAATCAATTAGAAACATAATTAACACCTAAACTACACTTCTATATCATCAATTAATTAAGCACATTAATTTCGTCAATCTTCATTCTACTCTATAAATTAAGGATTTCTTACAAAAAATATGTGATCTCATAGGTTCACAATATTACGTGCACAAAGACGACAAAGATGCATTCAAGGAAATTCATACATATACATACATACATACATATATATATATATATATATATATATATCCTTTCAAATTCACAT